AACGTCCCGAACCTATCTTTATGAGACCTCCCACCGACCCGGTGGCCAAGGGCGCTATAGCTGAATGGGCCTCTGATCAGCTGCTTTACCGCCTGAGTGCCCCAGTTTACGGGCAAGCTAACGCGCCGAGGAGATGGTACCTGCACGTGGCGGACAAGCTTTCGTCCCTCGGCTGGATCCGTCACACCTTGGATCCGTGCCTCTGGCTGATGATCAGTCCCTGTGGCAAGCAAGTGGTCTCGGTGTTGGGCTTGCACGTGGACGACGTTATCATCGCAACGCTGCCAGAGTACGAGGAGCACCTCAAGGCCGTCGAGACCTCCTTCGAGTGGGGCGGCCCATGGGAGCACTCCGACTTCGTGTTCATCGGCCGACGAATCAGGCAGCTTGACGACGGCTCACTTACGGTTGACCAGTCGAACTATGTGGCTGAGGTCCCTACCACCAAGGTCAACCTCGATCCGTCGACTCCCCTGCACGAGCACCCGGCCCTCGTGACGGAGTATCGCTCAGGTATCGGGTCACTCCAATGGCTGTCTGGAACCACCCGAGGAGATATCTCGGCCGACGTCAGTCTGATTCAGCGTGCTCCGAAAGATCTTACTGTCGCCGACCTCGTCGAGATCAACAACGTGCTCCGCTACGTGCGCGCCACGAACGAGTCCTACTACCGCATCGTGCCGATCCCGTTCGATGAGATGGTCCTGGTGGCTTATGCGGACTCCGGCTTCGCCAATGCTCCGAACAACCGCTCTCAAGGTGGACTTGTGGTGGTGGCGACCGACAAGAAGGTGCTCGAGGAAACACGTCCGGCTTCACTTTTGGAGTGGAAATCCTTCCGCCACCAGCGTGTGCTGAGGTCCACACTTGCAGCGGAAGCCGCTTCGCTGGACCGCTCCAACGACCACGCGCACTACTTGGCCATGGTCCTGAGCGAGCTCGTCGACGGAACCTTCAAGGCGACCATGCAAGAACGCCCCCTGTTCAGCGTGTTGCCAGTCACGGACGCGAGGTCGCTATGGGACGCAGTCCACAGGCTCAGCACAAATTTCGCTGAAAAGCGCGTGGAGATAGACATAGCTGGGCTACGTCAGACATGCAGAGCTCTCCGCTGGGTACCCACGGAGGAACAAAAGGCGGACGCCCTGACGAAGCGCAGCCGAGTTCTACGTGATGGTTTCAGGAAGTTTATGGAACGGCCAATGGTGACGCTGGTGGAGAGCAAAAGTGCCGAAGACTCTGTAGAAGGCCGGGAGAATGAAGCCTGGCGTAAGAAGAGTGCGTCGGCCAATGAAAAATAGAGGAGTGCTAAACTAGCCTCCGTGTGCATAGGTGGCCAGACGCACATGTGGACGCTTGCCTGAAGGCTCAAAGGGAATGGGAAACGCGTTGCTGAGAAAAGACCTTGGGCCCCGGAGGGATTCTGTGCTAGATCCAGGCTCCGCTTGAGTGGTTTCGATTTGCACGCGGCACTGTTTCGATTTGGATTTGGATAACGATTCCGGAATTCAGGTTGCACCGAGCATCCGGGAGCCGTTCGTGTCAAGATTCGTCAGGTATGGCAACAGCGCCAATCGCCTGCCGAGACGCAGATTGGACGGGCAGTGTGCCAGCCTCAGGATGTGACCCGAGCCGCGAGTCAACATGGACGCGGACGACGATGACGAAACTTGTGGTGATCTTTAAGAAAATAACGGTTTCTGGCATGATGGTGATGACTCAGTGACGTCGTGCACGCCGACGAGGATGACGACATTTTGGAGGATGGTTGACCGCCATGACCGAGCAATGATGCTGGAATTATGGTGTGGCGCTGCTGGTGCTGGTGCTGTGGGGCTGGGGGCTGGTGCCGGTGCTGGTGCTGGTTGATATGGCTGATGTGATTAATGGTGAAAGTTGCGCTAGCTGTTGCTGCTCTTGCTGTTTATCCTCCTGTTGCTGTTGCTGTCGCTATCGTCGTCGTTGTTGTCGTGATCATGCCTGCCGCCGTTGCTGTTGCTGTTGTTGTGGCACTGGCGGCGGTGGCGGTGGTGGCGGTGGTGGTAAGGAGGACACGGAGAAAGCCGAGCTGCACCTGCCGCCACCAGGCCGGATCCCAGCATCTGTGGGAAGCTAGGTCTGCTCCTCAGACTCGGAACCGTTATACACGACGTGGCATCAGGGCTTTTGTTTGTGTGGGGTGGACCGGACAGCTTGGGAGCCACTAGTCGCACAGCGCAAGCAGAACTCACAAGGACCGAGAGCTGATGGGTAGGCAGTGGATGGTCGCGGCCGATCAGGCGCAGTACCGGACCTGCCCAACCCCTTCACGGTGACCACCGACTGCCCGGTCTGATGCCAAGTGAGGGTGACTAGGCAGAGAGCCTCGCTGATCCTGTTGTCACAGTTCTTTTGTTCACGCACCATGAGCATTCTCCGCGTCGTCCCCGCTTCATCAGCATCGTAAGCATCATCCCCGAGCATCGTAAGCATCATCCCCGAGCATCTTGTTCATAGCAGCAACGTCATCACCAGGATTATCATCACCATCATCATAATCATTCTTGCGGTCTTCCTTCGCCATGAACGACAACAAGTCAGGGGGCGAATTGGTATGTGACACGTGCAGTAATGCCGGCGTCGTGAAATTTCGAACAGAGTGGCTGGGGCTCGAACAGCTGCGCATATGCGCACACGCACGCACACGCACGCGCACGCGCGCGCACACACACACACACACACACGCACACACACACACACACTTTTACAGACACTTTGCCCGGAGTCGTTGACTGTCGGAGCATGGCACTTGATGGTGATGTTGATGTGGGCACATATACCTTCTGATAATGCATATCCAGAGATATGGACGTTTAGGTGTGAGGGTCTGTGCGTATGAGACACTCAGAGTGTAGCTGCGACTTGCAAAATACAGAGGCAGCAGATTTTGCACGTTGATTCAGGTGTTGGTTGCGGAGATGTTAAAGAACATCCCGCCAGAGGCCGGGAAGACTTCGGTTTACTGATCACCGAATGAGTTCGTTGCATCCGAGGCTCCGAATCATCTTGAGGATTTTCGGGTTGGGAATTTACGGCCGGCAAAACCCGAGTCCCGAATCTGGTGGCGACTACAGCTTGCGCAGCCAGCAGGCAAATCACCCCGTTCGTGGAATGGACCATGCAGAACGTCCTCGAACTCTGAAGTGCATGACATGGGAAAACAAGCGGACTCGAACCAGTACAGAACCCTCGGCCATAGGTGATGGTCCCTATAAGGTGCCTTCATCATTTCCGACGAGGTTATGGGGTTTTGAAGGGGTTATGGGTTGGGGTTCATGCTGATGTGCAGAGTCGTTCACCCAGCCGCCCGGGTCACCCTTACGATTCTATTGGTCGAAAGCTGGGGAGATCTGCGCGTTACCGGGGCTTAAGATGCAGGAGCATAGCACACTGAATCACCTTGCGATTACGCCAGGACTGGGACGCCAAGCGCTTCGTAGAGCCTGTGCCTATCACAGGGCTCCCAAACCTCTACCATGGGCCCGAAGCCTTGATATCGTTCGATTTCTCTTTGATTTGTGGAGTTCGGGAAGGAGTCGCAGATTAGCCGCCGTCGCAGCAGAAGTAGCAGTTGCAGTAGCAGGAGCAGTGGTCTGAGTGGGAGTTGCTACGACCACTGCCTCGACGACTCTTAACTACTTCTACCAATATCGCTCCCACTACCGCTGCCACCACTGCTACTGCTGCTTTACTGCTACTACTATAGTTCGTACCTGCTAGCCGCTAACTCGTAACAACTACATACTACGAACTACGATGGTAAATGCTCCCAACCCCACACTGCTGACGGTATGTACCTACGACGACGACGACGACTACTACTACTACTACTACTACTACTACTATTTTGACCCTTTGGGTTTGGGGCCTAGCCTTACTTGGGGTAAGGTTTCTGGCCGAGTTGGTCTGTTGCCTAGCGCTGGGCTGCTATCCCTGTCTGTCCCCCTGACCTAGGCCTGTAATATTGTGCACTTGGAATGTGTGAATGTGCCAAGCCCGAAGTGGTAGTAACAGAAAGGATTTCTATTGTGCTTGCATGCTGATGTGTTAGCTCGGAATTTGGTGTAGAAAGTTTTTTATTTCGTGCCATTCGAGCTGACATATTCACACTTGTCTCGTAGCTGCCGGCGGCCGGCTCGTTACCCCGCGGAGCTGTCATAGGCTTGCCAGGTGGGTGACAAACAATAAACACTCCTCCCACGACGACGACTACTACTACCATTATTTACTGCTATTTCTACTTCTACTATGACCATTCCATTACTACTACTACTACTACTACTACTACTACTACGACTACAACTACGACTACGACTACGACTACGACTACCCCTACCGCTACCGCTACCGCTACCGCTACCACTACCACCACCACCA